AAATATACTATGGTTTGAATGAGTCCCTTTGAAAGTGCATGTACTGGAGATATTTATTCCCAAAGCAACACTGTTGGGAGTGGAGATGGACCTAATAAGAGGTCTTGAGGGATCTTCCCTCCTGAACCTAGTAATGCCATGATCACCAGAGTGGTTGAGTTTGTTATAAAACCCCCTTTCTCTCTTTCTCTCTATCATAGCTCATGCCCTCTCTTGACTTTTCTCATCCTCTTTTGCACTTTTACCTTTCAAAAAGGAATGACAGGTGTGGGCTACTTTACCTTGGACTTTCAAGCCTCCAAGACAGTAAGAAATATATTAATTTTTAAATAATTATGCAGGTTATGATATTATATTACAGCAACACAAAACAAACAGGTGAGCTCTCTTCTTGCGCCTTTGGATATATTTTCATTGTGGTAAGGACAGCACTCGAAGCTTCTGAAAGGCAAACCCTGTCCTTCACACTCTACCTCTCCTTGCCTTCCATGTCATCTGCTGTCATTTGCATCCAGATAGTTCTTCTAGAAGAAGCAATAGAATTCAGTGAAAAGAAATGGAATTTGGTTCAAGCCCTGACAAGTTTCTACCTCTAATGCTTCATAAATATGATCATTTACCTGATGGGGTGGGCATAATTGCAGGTGAACATTTGCCATAAAATGCAATGTACTATATAAAGATACTGAATTAACATTCAGTTTTAAAAGACCTCAAGCAGCCAGGCATGGAGGTGCACACCCATAGTCCCAGTGGCTCAGAAGGTTGAGGCAGGAGGATCACAAGTTCCAGACCAGACCAGCCTTAGCAACTTAAGCAAACCTCTAAGCAACTTAGTGAGACCTTGTCTCAAAATAAAATAAAATGAAATAAAAGGGCTGGAGATGTAGCTCAGTGGGAAGTGCCTCTGTGTTCAATCCAAACTAAACACATAGATAGATAGATAGATAGATAGCCTCAAGTTCCTTGTTTGACCTTAGAAGATAGAATAAAAGAGAATAAAAAATAAAAGAATTGTTCAAGGAACACAGGACCAATTAGAGACAGAGCTAGAAACAGAATCCAGATTTTTCCAATCCCTTCCTCCTTCCACTGCCCCTGTTAGACAATGAAGTCAATACAATCATGTATGCAAAGCCCCTAGCATAGTGCCAAACATGCACTAGGTGCTCAATAACTATTGGCTGAATAAATATGTGAGTGAACAGATGAATGAGTGAAGGACTAGGATTCATTTTTGATGATGACTTTTTACAGGTTTCCTCCAAATGTCACTTATGTTTTTAATCATTTTTTAATTAGCTCTTTATTAAGAAGCTTAGTTCTTAAAGTGTACTTAAGAAGATTAGATGAACTCATGTGCTAAAGTACTTAGAAACAGTTTCTGGAAGTCAATAAATGTTAACTAATTATTTTCTTTCTGTTTTCTAGTCATTATTTTAAATAAGATTGTGCTGATGCTGTCAGAACTCACTAATCTAGAAATCACTTTATAATCCGCTAATGAAAGGAATAGGAATTCTGGAATTGCATAAGTATTACCACTAATTGCCATCTCCTATCCTGTGCCTATCCTGGGTCACTCACACCCAACCCTTGTAGTTGGTAACCAGCAAGACACAAACAGAATCCTGGGTTCTCTTTGTTTCTTCTTTGGGCTTGAGTTTACTCAGCCCCTGATGTTTGGGCCCTGTCTCCCACTCCCAGCCCACATTTACCTGTTGGACCTGACAACTGAGTTGACTTTATTCATTTGACCCTTAAGGCTCTTGCTCTCTTTTTTCCAAAACCAACCTCAATCAAGAGTTTGAAAGTTCCATTTTGTTCTTTCCATTCCCAGCCACCCTGGATGCTCCACTCTTAACCAAGGTCCATTCCCTTGACTAAGATCAGTGCGGTTGCATCTGCCTTTTAAGGGTCAGACACTCATTATAACCTTAGTAGTCATTACAAACATTGAGCTTTGATACTCTAGACAGGGAGATAGAACTGTATTCCAGGAAAAGGAATAATGGAATTTCACTAGAAATTATTCTTTTTTTCTACTTGAGTTGTTGTGTTAACTGAACTGGCTTTCCACACTCCTCCTTCCCATCTGCTGCCTATGGTCTCCTCAGTCTGATGCTGCTCAGATTCAGCCTGCCCACCAAGAATGTCTCCCAAATGCCTTGTTGGATGCACTTGTTTTTTGTTGTTGTTGTTGTTGTTGTTGTTGTTGTTTTTTCTTTAAGGGCTTCACGTGCATGTTGACAAATTGCCATATGTGATCTAGATTAGTCACCAGAATACTTAAAGTTTTTTTCTGATTTTCTGCATATATCTGAAGATTTGTCAAGCCCAAAGACGATGCTTGAGCAAATGTCAGTAAACAAGAAAAAGCTTTGATAAATTCATCAATTATAGTTATACTGACAGTTCTAGTGTGAACACAAAATACTTATTATTTTTTTAATCTCTTTGTCTTGTGGTAGATTTCCATTTATTATCTTTTCATCTGTTAATTTTATAGCAAAACTCCACTTTATCCCACCCAGAATATGAGTTTCTTTAGAACATGGACTTAGTCTGTTAATATTCCCAGCTCTATCCTCAACACACAAAACAGCACGTAGTAAATAACAGGCACCCATTAGTGTTTGTTGGGTACTGAATGAATGAATGAATGAATGATAGCAGATGGAGTTGTCCCATCAAAGAGATATTAGTTCAAGTTTGAGTGCCACTTCCCAGCTATGAGAATGCCCTGAATTCCAGCTTCTTAGCTAGGAAAATGGCAATAATAACAGTGCCTACCTCATAGGTTTTGAGGAAAGAGTTAGAGAATAATACATACAAGGTTCTTAGAACCATAGAACATAAGGACCTTAGCACAGTATCTAGCATCTCTTCAGAACATAGTAAATGTTGACTGGGGCCCAGGGATATAGTTGGACCCATGGAAGAGGAGTTGCCCAACTAGAGATGTGGTAGGAGAGACCCAACCACTGGTAGACTCAAGCCATAAGGAAACAGGCAGAGAGTGAAAGAGATATGTGACATGCTTGTCTCCCACCCTCAGACTACTGAGTAGAGCCCCATCTGAAGCTGAAGGGAAGGGAGCCATAGGAGCAGACCTACAGGACACACAGCAGGTATGGGGCACGTGTGGAAGCCTGGGCAGAGAACAACCAGAGCTAAAATAGGGTGCCAGGCATTTCATACAAATGAATGAATAATAGATGAGTAAATGATGTGAGCGCAAGGTCTAGCACTCAAACTGCAGAAACCATGATCTCTTTGGCTTCCTGCCCCAAAGCCCTCATTACTGCTGTTCAGTGTTCCAGATTTTCCACCCCTATATACTCCCACTCTCTCTTTGTCCTTCCCTAACCTCTGCTAACCTCAGGGTTTCCATCAAAAATTTAAATTTTTTTTTTTTAAAAAAGCATGGATTTTATTTAGGAAGTAACACAAAGGAACAGGAGTTGTTCTGAACAGAGCCAAGACACTATCAAAAAGAAAGCTGTAATAATTCCCAGAATCTAAAATGCACACTAGAATATTCAGAGTTTTTAAAATGAAAATTTCAGTGTCACTGTGCCCTATGAAGAAAAATGGATAGTTTCTGAGAAGCCTGCTCCAGACATCTGTGTCACAGGCTCTGGATTCACAAACACCTCATTACCAAATGCCTTGGGACTGGATGTCCTATGCTCAAATGACTCTTGTCACATCCTAGGTTTTGGTTCAAAATACGTATCTGGGGGATCCTGATTCATGATGCCAATGGCAGCAGCAATGTTGAGAAAGTGGTGAGTGTGTGAGAGAGATGCTCAAGGGTATGAAGCCACTTGTAGCCATCCACAGATTCCTGCCAGTCTCTTCCTCCTTTGCCAATAGAGTTGCTGACTTCCTCCAGGGGTAATGCTTAAGATCCTGGATTTTAAGGACTTAGAAATGATTTGAAAGCCTTGTTTGGTTTGCTACTCTAGTTAGATTGTTTGCTTTTTCATGGAATGTACAAGACAAAAATGGGCACTAAATTAGGCATTGCTGACCACATAGGAAAGCTAATTTTAAAAGTAGCTGCAGACATATATGGGCCTATTTTGTATTCAAGTTCTGAAATTATTTTTTCCTAACTCAGATCTACATCGCTAGCAGTCCTCCTGTCATGCCCCATAGGCCAAGCCAGCCAGTCCCCAGAGTTTAAGCATTCATTCATACACAAAAACCAGAGTCAGAAATGCTAGCAGAAATAGGACGGGAACCACAGTTCCTGGTGAGTACAGCCCAACCTATATAAGCCTGAACCCCACAGCCCAGTGCACAACCCTTTTCTCACCAAAAGTTACTAAAGATTCAAAAAGCCTTCCCCTAACAATGCACATTATAAGCCAAACTAGAGCTTCAGGTTATACTGGCCACAGTCCCAATTTAGCTGTGGCTGTGTCAGGATTTATCAACAAATTCCATTCAAGATCTCCAAGGTCAAATTTCAGAAAATCTAATCTCAATTGGGTTGACTGGCAAAATCTGAATAAGAGGTATAGATTGGACAATAATATTGGATCACTGTTAATTTTTTTTATTCTAATCATTGTGCTTTGTTTATGTAAAAGACTGTCCTATTCTTAGGAAAACAAACTGAAATATTTAGGGACAAAAGAAACATCACGTCTGTGACTTATTCTCAGAGGATTTAGGGGGAAAAAAAACATAATTTTTGTACGCAGAAGAGAAAGGATGATAAATCAAAAGTTGCAAAATAGTAACAATTAGGGTATCTGGATAAAGGGCACTTTTTAAATTTTATTTTATTTTACCATTTTTGCATCTTTTGTAAGATTTAAATAACTTCATAATAAAGTTGGTAAAAAGCTACTTCCACAAAATAAGAGCCATCATGTGCCTTTCACTGAACTGACATCGTTAAGCACAGTAAGTGCTGCACAGGAAGCCAGAAACAACATCTCCTGCTTTGTCATGTTGGAGCTAAAATGAGTCATTTCCTCTTTCAGCTGAAGATGCCTTCCCCTATTCATGGAGGTGAGCACTAAAGATGCTTTGCACATGAACACTGACGGTAAGAGGTCTTGATCCTGTGCCCTCTGTCACACCGCCCTGTTGTCCCTTTCATCCAGCCAAGGGCATAGACTCAAGGTATCGTTCACACAGATCAATTCAAACCCATCAATGTTCTCCAACAGATCATTCTGTTATCCTCAAAGGCCTATTCAACCTCCCACCCTGCCTGGCTTAGAAAACCTGACGTTCATCTCCTTTTTAATTTTTCTCAAAGAAAAACAGAGTTTATTAATAGTTGACATCTCCTAGTGGTGCAATTAGGGAATTCTTATAGTTTTCTGTGCTTTAGAGGTTTTCGAAAATGGCTGTGTCTCCCCACACCCCATTGGTATGTTGAAACTCATATGTAACAGGTTCCTAATTGTCCCCACCTATCACTGGCAAGGAAACTCTAGGATGCCAAGACCAGCTAGTAAATAGATTGTGAAGTAATATGACTCCATTTCTTCTGATGGAGAAAACAAGCCCCATGGCTTGCCTTTGTATTCTACAGTCAAATGGAATCTATAGGTTGGACATGTGTAACCCTGAGGCTGCATGTGCTCTTTCAAATGTCTTGAAGAACTCCTGAAGATAGAAATCCAACTAGATTATTGGTTGAAGAAACTTCTAGGCAAAAATTTCCTGGAATTTCTTAGAGCTACTACATGGTGTTTACTAGCCTTCCAAACATGAAAAAGTGATAGCCCTTTGAGAGACATCTTCTCCTTCAGTGTCAACCAAATCTGAACCTTTCCCTCTGGGCCAGACTTTCTGAAACACTGTTGACATTCTAGGTCAAGTGATTTTTTGTCCAGTGACTGTTCTGTGCATTCTAGGATACTTAGCAGTATTCCCATCTCTTCCCACCAAATACCAGTAGGACACAATCCTAACCACATCTTTCACAAAAAGCAATATCTTCAGACACAATCTCAGGTTCTGGGAAAGACAAAATTTCCCTCAGAAATGAGAGTAATGTTTCCAGACATTGCCAATCATCCCTGGTTGGGGCAAAATCCCCCTTTTCAAGAACTACCACTGTAAGTTACCTCAGCCCAGCATGAGCTTCTGCCTTTTGTGCAAATGGACTGAAATTTTATAGTGTTTAGGGTAACATTAGCAAATACATAGAGGAAGGGTGCTATGAGTCATCAAAAAATGCTTTAGATACAATAGGACCCTGTGGAATAATAACCTTACCTGGGAGTATCAAACTGATGAATCAATCAGTCAGACTTCTGCAAGTTTCTTTCTCCTTTCTGGGCTCTGTCCCTTACTGCCAAATGCCCCATGCTACTTACTAGAAGGACAGGCAAGTGAGGGAGAACAATGTCATATTGAACATTGTGGGAGTCCTTTCCTTTAGGAAATCCAAGAGGTCTGGTAACCACTGTACAGTTTGAACTGCTGGCAAAGCACTGAGGTGTTCAGCTGCAATTTTAAAATTTCCATATATATTTGTTTATTGGCCACATATTTGCACAAAATATTTGAAATGGAGTTTTCAGTTTACTTTATGCAGTTTTCTAGGTTTTTAAACAAATAGGCACACATTATGGACAGTGCCTTAACTAAAAATCCTATTTCCACTCCCAAAGTAGTGTGGAGCAGGTAAGGGGTGGTAGCAGATTTACTTGTGCTAGCAATTGGGAAAGTGAGGCCCTGAGATTAAATCCGAATTGCCAGCATTGGTGTGCATTCATTCTGCTCACCTCCAAGTACCCCTCAAGGTCGTTTCATTCCTTGGTTGACCTCCTTTAATGGCATCTACTCCCCTTTATCCTCCACCTTTTAACTAACCTGGTATTTGGTTTGCAAAGGAGCTTCCAATGCCAGTGGGTATCTGTGAAAGCACAGGCAGGAACTTGAAAGCAATTATAAGATCAGCCAAGAGAAACAGAAACACAACTCAGTTTCAGGATGAAAAAAAAAAGACATCCAAAAAGCAACATTCATAAGAAGAATGCAAGGAGGGTTTAGAACTCAGTAGAATCGTAATTTCTGCCCAACACTCAGCCAAAAATACCATAGTCCGTGGTGTGGCCTTTAATCTGGTTTCTGGTCTAGGACTTAACTGCTAACTTTACAATTGTGTCCCAGTGGTGAGGATCACAACCTACCAATCACTCCTTGGCACTTCATCTCCAGTGTGGAGCAATCTGCCTGGCACCCCAGATTCTTCCTGGCACCCCAGATTCTTTTGCAACAGTTCTGGCATCCTTTAGGCACTGCACATTTCAATTCTCCTACCTCCAGCCCTGTTCCAGGTACCCATCACACTTCGCTCCTTAATTCTCCAAAGATTATAAGAGACTGGAAGAATTTAGAAGCAATCCAGGGCACTAGGATGTGCCCATCCATCCAGTGTGTTTTGAAGTGTATCTAAAACTCGGTCCACCTGATCTTTTCAACCACCACTTACCTGCCAAAGCCCTCAAATTCCTATTATTTAAGCTGCTGCTTTAAGTAAAGTATAGCATTGCTCAAAACCTGCTCACTTACCTAAGAGGGAGAAGACCCTAGTTTTTCAATAGCAATTTGTTTATGAGACTTGCTGGTGTTTCTCTAAAAAGAGGGTCTGGGATTAGAACTAAGGTCAGATGAGTTCTAGTTGCAACAGAAAGACTGAAACGACTGTCTGATCCACAAGCTACTAGCCACATCTGGAAAATGTAAATATAAATAATTTTAATAACATTAAAAATTTAATTCTTTGGTCATACTGGGTTAATTTCAAACTTTCAATAGCTACATGTGGCTAATGGCTACCATATTGAGCAGGGAAGATCCAGAACAATTCCATGATCCCCTAAAGTCCTATTGCACAGAAGTTCTCTAGATTGAACTGATTCTGCCAGGGGGAAGTTCTGGAAAGGAGAGACAGTCCACCATCACAAGCTCCACTGAGGAGGATGGAGAAGAACAGGAGATAGAACAGAATTCCAAAGACAAGATGATAGGGGACCAGACAAAAAAAAATTGTGTGCTTTGCCAAGTGCCCATCCCTGAGCAAACATGCATGAGCCTTGCCACAAAGCTCTTGAAAATAAGGAAGTGAATGGGGTTGGCTTTGAGGCCCATTTTCTCCATTGTCTGATCCTGGGCTTCTGTAAGCTTCTTGTGAAACAAGAGATCTCCTAGTCCCTGAGGCTTTGCTCACACACAGGTACCTGTGGGCTCCCAGCCAAAGGAAAATCACCAGGCAGTTTGGCAGTATCCAAGAGTCCACTCAGAGCTGGGAGCCTCTAAATCAAAAGCACCTGGGAGTAAGAAATCATCTTCTCCACCTGAGATTAGATGTCAACAGAGTCTGAGGAACATGAATGGTTTTTAATGCAATTTCACCCTTTCTGAAGACAGTGAAGGAGCAACCGTCACCCTTTACCAATGTCAGTGGCTCCTATTTGCATAGCACTTTGCAGACATGTGGAACACTTTCACAATAATCTTTTATCTTATTCTCAAAATAATTGACTGAGGGAAGTAGAGCAGATGTGACCCTCTCCACTTTATATTAGAAGAAATTCATGCTCAGAAAGAAGAGAGGTGTTGAAGTCAACATGGCTGGAAATAGCAGAACTAGCCTTAGAAACCTTCCACCTCTTCTGTTTGGAGCTCACATCACCTTTCTCAAGTGATATACGGGTTATTTAGAACCTGTTGAAGTCCCCAAGTATGTCATCCTAGGGTATATGACCATGGATTATGCTGTAAACTCAGTTCATGCCCATCCCCAAGCCAATGGCCAGGGAGCTCTTCTTCACAAAATGACTTATGTGAGCTCATAGAGAGGGAAGAAGGCCTCCTGGCTAGAAATATGGTATGACTTCTCCCAGCAGAAACAATGTTGATGTTCTGATAATGGCAAGGGGAAAAGAGTGTTCATGGCTCTGTTTCATTCAGTAGCACCAGGTCTACTGAATCTGTTTTACCATGCAAAAGGCACAAGGAAGGTAATGCTTTCCTTGCTCCAAAATAGTCTGCAGTGAGAGACCCTTGAACAGTCCAGTGGGTTTTGATTTCTAGAATGCCTGTCCATTTATAAGATTTTCAGTAGTCTGTGGCTAAATATATATGACTTATTTTCAAATTTGAGAGAACTTCTTGCTCATAATGTACATGAGCCACTTACATACTTGGCTATATAATAGATCCCAATTCTATATTTTCTTTTGACAGCATGCATATAAATAAATAGATATGCAGAATAATTATTGAACTTTCCTTCTAATGAGCTCTAATACTAAATCAGCTACTGTCAAGAAAAATCTTAAAAATTCATAGGATAAATAAATAGACAAAGCAATATTGAGGACAGTTGATAAAAACCAAATTATCACTTTTAATATGCCCAATAAAATAATAACCCTAGCAACACATGCCTTTCCTTTCCTTTATAGCAACATTCCAATACTTCTCCATTAAGATCCAAATTTTTCTCTACCTCTAAGCCACTAGATTTGAAAATTAGACCACTGAGCTTTCTGTGCCAAACTGGTGAAATCTTCCCAAGGCAAATGGGCCATGCTGGGCTACTTTGTGATGGGGCCTCTACTTCCTCCCAAGGCTGAATTAGTAGAGATTCCAACTTCCCTCCTGCATCCTCCTGTGGCCCAAGACCCAGTTAGGATGCTTTGATCAACAAGCAATAGCATGCCTGGCTAAAAGTGGATTAAACACTGGATGTATAACACTCACCATGTCCTGAGAAAACCATTTGCAGGTTTGACTTAGCAGCTCATGACATTTACAAAGAGCCACCCTTTCAATTTAGGGAGGCTTCTTTCTCCCAACCCCTCTTTTTTTTCCACGGAGGAAAGATTTCCCCAGCAACCCCCAGAAAGCTTCTGCTATGTCTCAGTGGCTAGAACTAGATGGGATGACCACTCTTAAACCAACATAGACTTTAGGCAAATGAGATGACCATGATCAGCTTAGAATGATACATGCTCATGCCCTGAGGCTGGATACCTGATTCCTGACAAAACAACTCTGTGCAAAAACAACAGGAGTGGT